ATCACTCTTGTTGCATTTACTATAAAGTGTTCGCAGCAAAGGGGATAGTACTGTCTGATCCAAATGTCTTGTACAATCTAATTATTAAATAAATGATTAAAATAATTATTAAATGTTTTAATGAATCTATATCCTATTACGTGTGTGTGTGTCTGTGTGTGTGTGTGTGTGTGTGTGTGTGTGTGTGTGGACACGGACAGGAGACAAACCTGACTGAATGCACTGGCTAACAAAACTCAGCATCTTCTCCTCAACTATAAACGAAACCAGAGTTATACAGGTAGTGAGTGCATGCCATGGCATGCAGTGTGTGTGTGTGTGTACTTATATGGATGGAGGGTTGCAGGTAAACACAGTGCCAATGTTTAGGAAACACAAATTTAAATAGCATGTGTATGTGCTTGCATGTGTGTCTCCTGTATGTGTGTGTCAGAAAGTGTCTTCAGTTTTGGTTTTTCTGGTCTTATTCTCTTTGTTGATTCTCTCTCTGAAGAAAACAAAACAGAATATCTTTCACTTATCTCTTTTGCACAGACACCTTATTCTCTCTCTCTGCCTCCCACTCGTGCTCTAAAGTGAACGTCTTGTCCTGTGTTCGGGAGCTCTTCACAGACCACAACAATTGAGAAGTTAACATGGAGTATTGTCCTTCGTATCTCTGTCTTTCATCTCCTTGTTTTTCTTGCTTCTGCTCTTTGTCTCTTTCTCCCCGTGCTTCCCTCTTTCCTGGAGGTGAACGTCTTGTCCTGTTACACTGTGTGTTTGAGCTACTCGCAGACTGTGACACTTGACAAGTGAACAGGTAGTATCAGTACCTCATGGAGGACAAGAGGTACTCAGCTGCATACAACTCATCCTTCAGCTGCATTTAGAGCACTGTGCTAGAGAAGAGGGAACACATCTTTTAAGTTAAAGTGTCACTTTGACTACTAACAAATAAGGAAAAGAGTGAAACCGCTTTGTTTTGAGTTTGGTGGTGGCAATAGACAAATGCTTAAAGCTGTGTTCAGATCGACAATAGAGCTGTCACTGCATTAGCACAGTCCTGACGCAGAGGGCTCCCACAAAAGTCCAGCGACAAAGATAAATCTGGCTTAATTTTTTCGGCACTGCAATGCAACATCATCCAGAAAGTGCACTGTGTTGGCCAATCAAATAAGTGTAAGCACAATATCCAGGTAGACTGCTTTGTAACATGAACAGCATGCTCTACTTTTCACGTCCTGATCGTCAAAGCAGAACATGACATGATTGCTCACATGATAACTTTGCAGAGTATTAAAATCCTGTCGCTCAGTGTTATCAACTTCTGGGCAGTGTTTTAGCATCTGATAAACCTTCAAATTAATTGATTTTTAATCAAACTGGACTTCCTGGACCAGCAACATGCCAACACAGTCCCTTGTCTTCTTTAATGCCGTGCTATTTTTAGCTTGACTTAGAGAAGCAGGTTTGAGGTTTAATTTTTACTTTCAAGGCCAACTCTGGTCCCTGAATAATAAGTGCTAATGTACCCTTGAGAAAGACAAAGAAAGGGACTATGGGGAAGTGTGACTGTATTCACATGGTACTGGGTAAAACTGAAAAGCAGCTTGCATTCTCTGCATATTTAAAATAACATGCAATACTGCATAGATTATTTTAAGTTCCCTTGCAAAAAAAAAAGACAAAAAGAATAAAACCATTTCCTACTCTCCCATGAACCTCACAAAACTCATTAGGTCAGTGGGTAGTAGGAGGACAGTGGAAAAAATGTGCGCTCATATAAGAGCAGCATGAATTGTTGGTAAAGAGATGTATTTCATGCATATTTTGAAAAAGTTCAAAGAGAAAATGCACAACACAAGGATGTCACTGTTCAAACTAATCAATGCAGATGTCACGTTACTAATTGTCTGTACTGGCTTAATGCTATTTATTAATGTCCCAGCAGGCTCCCAGACCAGATGATGTATGTCCAACACAGATTCAGGTTTGTGGGAGAAAAACCCCATGAAAAGGAAAGCCATGTTGGTAGGTGGTAGTGTCACGCCCTTTCTAACATTGTTTACTTTACTGTTTTGTAATGTTGTTTTTTCACGTGTATAACTGTAGCTGTATTTGAGCTACATCCCCGTGAGTGTATACACACAGTAAACATACTGTCGGCATGAAGGTTCCTTGCAAGTATGTGTGTCTCCGTGCCCGAGTGTGTGGGTGGGAGGCATGGTGTGTGTGTAACCACAGCACTATCCTTCTCTGCAGCCCACCATTAAACCTTGGTGCCAGCCCTCTCCCAGCACACCAGGATTAACAGCACTTAAATGGGCCTCTTAGTACACCACCTCCTCTTTGCCTCCCACGCCGACTAGTACACATGGTGCTGCCCACAGCTTTGCACTTGCAACGCACACTGCCTCTGTTGTTTTTTGTTCTCCGCTCGCCCCCAACCACCTAAGCCTCCTCCAATAAATGGTGCTGAAGTGTACTCAGTGGGGGGCTAAGCCCAGAACATCCTCTATTTTATGGACCTATTGGAATCTGAGTGGATGACAGAGGGAGGAAAAGGAGGAGGGAGGAAGGTAGATCCTGAAATTGAACCAGATGGATGGGCTATGATCAAAATGTCAGTCTCTCCCTCTCTCGCTCATTCTTTGTTATTGTCTCTCTTTCTCTCTTTCCTTTGCTCTGTGTCTGGTTATCACATGGCCCTTGTGACAAATCATAAACAGAAGCACTGAAACAGATGCGCACACACACACACACACACTTGGGAGAGATGGATGGCCACCACAGAAATCAATAAATAAAATGGATTCCCATTTGTGTCTGTTGGCCATGGCGCAGCAGGCAGAAAGACAGATGAACTAATGGATGGATAGGAGAATAGACTGTGTGTGTGTGTGTGTGTGTGTGTGTGTGTGTGTGTGTGTGTGTGTGGGCACTGTGCACGCATTATTGGTTTGTTTGTAGGAGACTCTCAGAGGAGGCTGTGTCTGTACATAGGCATGGAAAGGCCACCCTCACATAATACCAGGGGGTATGTTGTTCACAGCCATCTACCGGCCTCAATGAGAAATTCCAGAAATTACTAGAGAGCAACAGACAGAGGAACTGAGAGGGACAAGAAGAGAGGGCAGAGCAGAGAGATAGAGAGCAGCCTCATAGATCCATTGAGTAATCTTACTATGTAGCTGCTGCTCTATGCCATGCTTCGCACAACTGATCACAAATGACATCTGTAAGTCCCTAACAATTTAAAGGATAATGCCAGTTTATAGCAAATGGAGTCTTATTTTTACATGTTTCCAGTGGTTATGATAACACTGTACTGATAACCCAGAGGGCTGGGAACACAACATCGCTACAGACACGTTGTAAACCAAACAGCCAACAGTAGGGGTTTGAAATGATACATTTGAATCTGACAAATGTGTCATGTTATGATATTAACAATTTTGCAATGTTATGACTTATTTACATAATGACCACGCAGCAGCAACACACATTGCTTAAGCTGAACATGAGATTGTTGTTGGCTCCTCCGTGGAAGTATTAGTTCCAAAAATGGAGTGACTTTGGGCAGGGGCGCTACATCCCACAGAAAAGACTACATACCCCATCATCTAGTCACTAAAGTGGTCACAAGACAAGTCGCATCAGGGTCTGTTAGACATAGCCCAGGCGACAATGATTGATGAATAAAAATGTGTTGCATTGCAGTTTAGGGAGTTTTAATCATATTATTATTGCAAAAATACCTTTCAGTATCATAAACTCAGCTGTCCACCTCCTCAGCCACGGCCACACCTGTGACCACAATACAACAGGTTGTAGAGTCAAATTGAGTTTGTAACTCCCTTCTGCTATGTAGTTTTTAATATACATTAATATAAAAGCTTTATTATTATTATTATTGTTGTTGTTGTTGTTGTTATTTCATGGCCACATGGCCTACCCCTAAAGAACTTGTACATGACCGAACATTATTGTCTATGTAGCCTTTTGGAGAGCTATAGATAAAGCAGTCACAGATGTTTTCAGCTTCTCTGTTCGGTCTGCAATTCTACTGTGGAAGATTGTGGTGATTTATACAAAGGTTACTATTGTATGTGAATATGACGTCAAGTTGGCTGGGTTTCCCACAGGCATGAGAAATTAATTAACTTGAGAACACAGCAGAATAAGCTCTTTCTCCGTGTTTTTTGACAGTCAGGACATGAAGTAAAACTACTGGTTATACACACTGAAAAAAAATACATTTTCTCTAATTGCTTTGTATGCACTCCATACATTTTTTTATGTAAGGGTGTATAACATTTTTTTCAAAATGCATGGTGTACTGTGAAAAAATGTTTTAGCATCAGCATAAAAATTAGAGTTAATAATAATAAAAAAAAAAGGAGATAATAATTTCCTTGACAGAATGCACTGAATGTTACTACAATAACTTGTAGTAGATACACTATGCGCTTCCTGTATAAAAGGGAAAATCAGGAGATATTCCCTGTTAATTCATATTCATACCATATGGCATATCATATGCGAATATGTGCCACCTGACACTGACAAGGATATAAAGCAACATGCCATCATTGCCATGTTCTGTCTTGTGTGCGTCCTTAAAACAGATGGAAGATTAAAAAAGGAGACACTGTCTCATTTCGTATTCAAATTATATGGATTACTGCAGCATATGGAGAGAGAGCAGAGTTGAAACACTCATCAGAATGTAACAAATATGTTTTTAACACAATTGTATTTCTGGGTTGTAAAAAAAAAAAAAATCACATTTGTTAACAACATATGTTGTGTCAATATGGTCTTTCATTAACATGCTGCTTTGAAATGTAACATGTACGGTATGGTCCCAAACTGAATGCATATCTGTGCAATAAATTATTTCATATTAGGTTCCCCCGAGAGGGGAGTCTTAGTGTTCCGATATAACTTCAAATAAAAAATCAGGAAAGTATCTGCCAAGCGAGGGGTGTAAAGGAAAATGATTTCTGAATGCCTACCTTTTTTATTTCTTCAGGCAGTGGGTAGATCGGAGCACAGTGAAGACTCATCTTCATTTCCTTCTCCTCCTCCTGCTCCACCTCCGTCGACCTCTCCTTGTCTCCTGGAAACAAGCAGAAGACTAAGCTATATTGTATATGGTATACAGTGTGTGTTATGGGTGTTAATGAATGGAATCAGTTAGAAAACAGTAAAAGAAAAATGTCCATCACAATTCCCCAAAGCCTGGGAGACGTTGTCAGATTGCTTTCTTTGACCAACAGCACTAAACAATCAATTTCCAATGATATTAAACACAGAAAAGTCACAACTTCTTACATTTGAAGATATGGAACAAGTGTCAGTGGGCATTTTTTGCATTATAAATAATTAATTAATTATCAAAAGGGTAGATATGGTTGGTTCATTTTGCTGGTCATATAGCCGATATATTTAAGAGAGTAATATTGAACACATTGTTTCTTGACAGATGAGTTCTGTGCCTCTGTGTTTTCTGTTTTCTCTGTCTTTAACTTCCACATGCTTGTATAACATCCACCCCCTTCAGATTCAAACTCACTAGCCAACAGTAGACAGCTTCCAGAAAAAAAATGTGTGCGTGTAAAAAGAAAAACATGCCTACTAATCACTCTAAAAATAAAACTGAAATCAAAGTATTTCCACAACCATCCTAAGATACTGTGTTTTACCCAATATTACCCAGGAAAACTGAGTACTCGTTTCAGGATAAAAGTGTGGTTGTACTTTTAAAGTGATGACTAGCACTTAGCCTCTGAGGTTAATGTAAGGGTAAATCCCTTAGCATGGTGTCCACCATATTAAACCCATTTGCGGTACACTCTATTCAATAGATTAATCAGTCAAGCTTATGGCATTAAGCTTATAGACTGTAGATTATGGTATTTCACAGCTGAAAGTACTTTGACTTCACAGCCATACATGAGCTTGTCCTCCACTGCACGCCAACACAAGGTTTAACAAGGACTGATTCAAGTGATTCAACTTCAAGTGTGGAAACTATCCACAAAATACCGTAATGATGAAGGTGGTAGTTTAATTGTGTTCAAATGGGTCAACAAACAAATTATTTATGTACTCTGTGCTTTTTTTTTAGTTGCTGCAAATCAAGGTAAATCTAGCTTTCCTCTGTATCGTAATAGTGGCCACTGAGGAACAGTCAGTAACATGGCCATTGGTGCAGGAGGTCGTGCGAGGAGAACAGTGATGTAAGCCTAACCCAGCCTCTGCCCATCTATCTGTGAGTGCATGCTTTCAGGGCATTTATCTATCAGCTCACCATTAGTGCGTGGAAAGCATCACGCAAACTCAACACTTGACCTAAGATTAAATTCCTCTGACTAACCTGGGGCCAGAGGTCACTCCTATCAGATGGTCCCCTGTGCACGGCTGCATGCCAGACATTAAATGCCCTTGCAGACCATCGGAGGGTAATAGAATGAGAGGACACACAGAAAAATTTACAGCAAAACCATAGACTGTAAATAAAAAACACACACAAGGATGTAGCCACAAGCACAATGCGCACAGACAGGCACACAGCCATCAATGCATGCAAAGACTGGCAGGGTTAACTTGACACACACACTAAAACTAGCATGTAAACAAACATGTGTAATCCCTCTGTCTCTAGCACACCAGTGTAGACACAAAAACCCTCTCCAATCAAAGAGCAGGCTTCATGTTCATGCACGCTAATAGCCTGATTGCCCCCCTACTGTCTCTAGGCTCTGCATTTAAAACACAGCACAGATCCTCAATTGCTGGCTCACGAAACACAGATAAATTAGTAACGCCCTGTGACAGCATTAAGCAGGCCTATCCTTTTAGATGGACGCTGATATAAAGGGCTGATTTTGCATGACAACTGTTCCCCCATGACATTTTTTTCCGTTTTAGCCCTGATTGAACTATTAATCAGTCTAATGTGAGAGAGGCAAGCTGTTCATAAACTCATCTATTCTGCATGGACGCATGCCTGACTCATGAGAGGAAACATACACGAACATGTAAACTCATGAGGGCACGATCACAAATGCAAGTACTGAGGGGCAAAAAGCATTTGGTTACAAGGGAATGGAGGACCTAAGATGAAGAAAGGTCCCTAACCAGTCCAGATGGAAGCAGATGGATTGCAAATAATTAGATTTTATTGATCCACAAGAAAAATTTTTGTTTAAGTAGTTGAGTAGCATTATGTTTTGTTATAGTGGGCCTCTTTCTTGACAAAAAGTGCAGTATAGGTACTAGTCAGAAAATTGTTCACAGACACAATCAAAGCATATGTTTGCATGTGTTTGTTGAAATCATGAGTTACAGTTCAAACATGCAGACTTTGGGTCATATGAAATAATTCCATAACAAATTTTAATTAAGGATGGTTTGAAGGCCTGTAACTTAACGTTAGGTATCATGACACATTGTAAATTCATAGATGAGCTTACTAGAAATGCAGTAACGTTATTGGGTTTAGAAGCATAAGTTAGTAAACATCTATTCTGAACTCTGCATTTCTGTAGGACATCGTGTATTTGATGAGAAGCAAGTTAACCCTGTAATCAGTGCGGTCACTCGCCTCACATAGCTTTTACCTCTACAGTCATACCGAGAATTAAGCTTTCTGATTTGACTTAGAGAAACAGATCAAACCTTTACATACCCATGGTCAACTGTCTCCTTCGGAATGAAGTTGAAAGAACTCATAAAATACTAAGTATGTAATGTTGTAAGTAAAAATGTTCACTGACTTTCTCCTGGCATGAGCCTTACTAACTGGCTGTTACCATGGCTACGACGCAGCCATGTCACGTAGCCACGCAGTATAGCATGTCCTGTGAGCGTTCGCACCGGAAGTTGGTCTCCTATCAAAATAAAGGTGATTTAAAAACATATAACACATCCACAAACAACCGCACGCGAAACAGGGTAACTTATTCAATTCACTTGTTATAGCAAATAGAAAAATATATCCTGTTTGAGGAGGAAAGGAGTCTGAGGAAAAAATGCCAAAGTATTACCTAACAAGGTCACCTTAACCCTGGACCATCTTTATTTTTTTCCCGTTTTCGTTCACCATTATTGTGGAAACTTCTCATTTTAACCTCTTGAGTAAGTGAACCCTTACCACAACCAACCACCTTCAGTCTCAGGGGATGGAAGCTTCACTTGGTAATGCCCGTCACTTCAATTTTATGCTTTGGCTGGAGGCTTCAGATGGCAGGAAGGGCCCTGATTGACATGAATAGGCCAGTGATATTCCTGTGGCTATATGACATGCAACAACAGAGTTATTGGATGAGGCAAGTCATTAAGATTATACAGGAAAAGGAAACTGACATTGATCCTCTCGTTTATTTTTGTACATTCTTGATGTATAAGGTGTAGTAAATCGACTAAAAAGGATAGTTTTCAAAATGTAAAGAGGCTTCCCAGAAGCACACACAAAAAAAGCTAGCTATAAAAAAATGTGAGAATGTTTAGTGAGCTTACCTTTAATACAAACAAAAAAATAAAGAATGAATAATCAATTAGGTACAAAATGCAGACAGACAATGCCTTGAAGTCATGAAGCTGAAGTCTGCCTGCTTGCATGCATGGGTCACACTCCACGCTCTGTTTGGGTTGTGTGCATTTAATTCAATGCCTCAGAAGTAATGTGAAATAATGGTCAGACATTCCTGCCGGGGCTTTTACAGAACCAATTGTTTCATGGTAATAGCTGGTTTACAAATGACTTTAGACATACATTTTTTTTGCCTTTATGTGATATCATTGCCCTCATTTCTCTGTGGCTGACCAAAGCAAACATGTGTCTGATCTGGGCTAATGTCACCCAAAATAACAGAGAGAGAGATCTTAGCTATGATTTCATTGGCAATGCATGTGCTATTTATGGACCCGTCAATGAATCGTGCAGTCACTCTGAATCAAATAGCACTCGCCCACTCAAGTCTTGCCTACCTTCCGTGCTTGTTTATCTTCCTCCACGAACAAAGGGGGGAAAAATGTTGGACTCAGGCAGAGACAATAATCAAACCTCGAACCCTACTGTGCCAAAGAGGGGAGAGGGAAGACAAGCCCTTTCTCTGTATACCCTCCTCCCCTTTCTGTCTCACCCCCACTTACCCTCTCTGAAACCAGTCATATCCTCAAATAGCCCTATGGCAAGGTCACAAGTAGAGGGAGTACAAACATGTAAAGCAGCATTGTATACAAAGCATCAGTATGTCATTATAAAGTTTATCAGAGCTCTCTTTGTAGTGTATCAACTAGTGAAAGCAATTATTTTGAATGTTTTAATAAAAGGTCAAGCCTACTTTCAGAATGTCTGGTTGCATACAGGATCTGGCTTCATCAGTGTTTTCATAACATTTTGATTGTCTTGATTATCATAATTTTAATATAGCTCAAATCTAGGTCACCTTATCTAGTCTGATTTCTGAACCAGGTTAATAATTGATGAGAGCTGAAATCTATAAAAAAAAAAAAAAAAAAAAAACTAATTATTTTTCTGTTGTAATTGTTTGTCTAGTGGAACCACTAGACTGTATTTTGGGCTGTCTCTGTGGCAAAAGCAAATTAACCTAATTTGGGAAGGTGCATCCAGTGTTTTAGGGGCACTGAGCCTGCAGGGACCGGGAGCTTGGCATCTATTGAGTCTGTTTCCGGCACGCTATGCTGTGTGGGCAAGTGTATAATGAAGCATGAGTGTGTGCTTGCGTGCGTGTGTGGAGAGAGTGTGAGAGGAAGGATAAAGAGGGGGAGGGGCGACAGGGGAAAGTGCATGTATGTGTGTGTGCATGCACAGATTGACGGGGAGGATGGGAGAATATGACCCACTATTCTTTTTTTGGCATGAAATGACTAATATTGTCACGCTTGACATATTTGGGCTAGGATATGCAGGACAAATCCAATGGCCAACCATGCAGGTTGAACTCACCAAAAACTCCAGAAAATACTGCAAGACCTGCACTCCACGCACAAAAGTGTGACTGAAATGAATGAATGAAAGAGGAGAATTATGAAACTGGTGAGACAGGCTGCCTCTCAGAACACTGAAATAAAAAGGTCTTTCTTTTTTCTGTATTGTGATATCATTTTTATGACATAAGCTCCTCTACACTCAGTTAACCCAAAAAGCCCATCTCACTCACTGCTTTCGCTGTGCTCAGTCGGATGTGAGCTGCTTTCCTTGGTATTTCTTCTAGACCTACTTCATTCCTAAGCCCTGTCCACTCAGTCTAAATGTAAGTCTTGTCCACCTGTTATGCATGCGTCACTGTTTTGCCAGCCACCCACGGGGCCTCTGTTTGTCTTGTTTCCTTTTTTAGTGAAAATAAGAAAACCCCTGATTCATGAAAAGTGAGCACACAACTGATTTTTTTCATACGCGCACGTCAAGTATGAAACTCCCTCCACCCACACCTTTCTGACATCAGGTTTGTGGGGGGCTTTGTCTGACAACTTTAGTAAGTTTCCGAAACGGACAATCCAACATTCATGCCCTCTTCATGCAGCACTTAGCCAGGGTACGAAGGTGAGAAAGTAGCAGGACTTGAACTTCTCTATAAAGCTCTCTTTTTATTTATTTATTTTTAAGTGCAACGAAGTCTGACACAATGAATGCCTCTGAGGAGAGATTGTTCAAAAGTGTGTGTCACACACACCCAAATATTTGACAGCAAGCTTTTCACCCAACCTTTGAGTGTGAACGTTACATTGTAGCCTTCAGCTGTGGTTGGATGGCACATTGTAGAAGCTAGTTAGTTTCAACTATACCCTGGACTTTTGACCTATCATCAGTGGCTGATTATCTACACCACCTCTACCTGCATCAGCCACTAAGTAGAAGACAGATAAAGTTAGGTCATTGCTAGGTTTCTATATTCGAACAGTTACCTATTGCTACCATTTGGGGCCGCCAGTGAGTGAAGTAGCTCAGCACAACAACCTTTGTTTGTTTTAGACATGAATCTGTCCTTCTAGATAGGCTAACTGTCAATACAATTATTTCTGCCCCCATGTCTTCAGTTGATTTGTATGTGTGTCTGTCTGTCTGTCTGTCTTTAGTCCTTCAGTTTGTTTGTGTCTCTGCCTTAATGGTTTTCCCCTTCAACTCGTTTCTCTCTCTCTGCTTAAATCTCTCTACATGGCTCTCTGCTTTCCATGCCGGTCTGTCTCTCTGTCTTTTTGCTTATCTGCAGGACTATTAAGTGTGTCTGTGAGTGTATGCGTGCGCGTGTGTGCTGAATGGATTTGCATGAGAGCCAGTGGGGTGACCCTGCTCTCTCACGCCAAGGCTTCTGTGGAACAAATAGGACTAGTCGGATGTCGTGACAGCATTCACATCAGTTTAAATAAGAGCGCTGTGCTGCAGCCGTGTGCGTGCGTGCGTCTGTGTGTCTGAGTGTGTGTGTTCAAGCAAGCAGCCAGGCACGCATTTAGTCAGAAAAGCTTTGCGAGGTTTTGTGTGTGTGTGTAAGAGAGTATGTCTGTGTGTGTGCAGGACTGTGTGTTTCAGCCACTGAGCATGCAATATCTTGTGAAGTTTGAGGTTTTGTGAGAAAGAAGACAGCAAAATCAACGGTTTAATGAGCTCAGTGGGGTTCACACACAGGGACACACAGGCCAAAAGCTCCACAGAGTTCCTTTGAAAAGGAACAGGTTTGTCCTGTAAGGCCGACCTGCCCTCTGAATAAATGAACGCTGTCACAGGTTAAACAGAGTTCACTTCAACATACATCACTGCAATGTAAATGAGTGCCAACCACAAGTATGAATTATGATGCTTCATTATAATTATGATACCTGAGAATTTAAATAGATGTTTTATTTTAGAAAGTACAGTCAAGCATGGCCTATTGTTAGACCCAATAAAGTTAATTGTTTTTAGATTTTTTACCTAAACAAGGGTTCATTTCATGTCTCGTTTCCTTATCTGCATGCTCTCATTCTTGTTTATGTCACATATAGCTACTATATATTTTCCTGTGAATTTATAAAACCCTAACAAATTAAAATACAATTGACAATGTAACTTCCATGAAAATATTTGCAAAAGGCAATAAAGCAACATGTTTTAGAGAGATTATTTTCTGGAGGAGACTGGTTTCTTTCTGTGATAGACAGCGAGCAGAATGCGCACTTTATTCTAACACAGTTAAATAATGATACAAATGGGATAACCAAACAGGTTATTAAATACCAAAACACTTTTGTAATACTGTTCAGCAAGAATAAACCCTCTAACTATCCTGTGTGCTGACAGTGTTGTCCTTTAAGGGTGTCATCAGTGTGTGTTTGTGTCATGAGTTGTTTACTGTGCCTTGCAACTGTGACAAAAGTGCCATACAATTGTGTACTCACATAATTTATGATGATTACAGTTTTTGTCCCTTGTGGTAGCTTAACTGCATTTTCTAGTTTTAGATTTATTGTACAATGAAAAATGTTTGTTTTGGTGGCAAAACCAAAGATAAACATTTAATGTGTTCACAAGTCATGCTTTTGGTTAGGCAGGATGGAAATTGCAGGTTCAGCTTTTTAACGTCAAAAAAATCTTTTTTAAATTACGATGATAATTTCCTACTATTATGCAGAAAGTCTTTGATAATGTGGAATGACTGAATGAATGCTATGCAGTGGAAAATGTGAGGGAAAG